ATTTGTAACCTCTGAAATTCTTGTTCAAGTGGGGAGCTATTCTTTGTGTGACCCCACAACTGGTGCACACTGGGGTCAAAACTAGTGTACATGGGCTTCTCTAGGGTTACAAGCATGCACCTTTGTAAATGAAATTTTGCTACCATTCCAGGGCTACACTTGGTGCACAAAAGTGACATAACAGGAGTATCACACAAATGCACTAACTGGAACCTTGGTGTAACTTCTTTGTTTACAAATGTGACCCTGAGTAATCTTGGTGTGAACACACAATTAGTGCACATTGGGGATATGCATGTGCAACAGAAGAACTTTGGTACACCTCAGGTACACAGCAGGGTCACTGTGTGGAAATACATGCATATCCCAAGTGTGCACAATTTTCCCCACTTGGGTGTCTATTGTGGCCCACAAGGGCTCTACCTCTGCAATGTGGCCCTTGGCCATATCTGACTTGGGCAGCACTGCTATATACTTGTTATATGCTCATTTGAATCCCATCTGTCAGGCCAAAGGTCAAGTCACGAATCAAAATGAATTAAAACACATGCCATATCTACATCAACGTTTCTATTTGTTTCCAACCAAATAGACGATTAATTGTTTCATTTCAAACTGAGAAATAAGCCCGCCATTGCATAACGGCACCCTCGCAATCCCACGCATGTCAAAAGAAATACAGTCCGCATCACGTAAAAAAAAAGAAAAGAAACGCGGGTGCACTTGTTCCAATATACTGCGTCTGCTGTCGGAAGAGGTTTAGCACACGAACTGCGAATTCTTTCCTAATCAGTTATCTTTGGTACCCATGGGTGCACTAGGCACGGAAAACGTAAAACACTGGCGACGTCGTGCGCGGTGATCAGACTCCTTTAAAAATAAACTCCATCCGCTGACTAGAACGTGTGATACAAACAAACAATTGGACAAAAAAGAAAGGCAACCCAGTCAAAACAACAACAACAAAAGCTTCACGTGGTCAACTGAAATGGTATCCCCGAAAGTCGCATTCCTGTTTGTCTGAAGAGGGTTCTATAAAAGCATCCATGAGGAAAAATTTCTAGAAAAACTGACAAGATGTTATTTCTGATCCCGCGAAAAAAAAAGTTGAGATTTGAAAGGTATGCTTCACTGCGAAGAAATTAGGGAATCGAGACAGAAATAAAAGAAAAAATAAACGAACAAGAAAGGCAGAACGAACAGAAATTAAACTTTCGGATGCCAGGTACTTCAGTGCGATAATGCCTCAAAAACTTAAACTTGTGCGAGGATTGCAAAACATACGTCTTCCTTACGTATCGAACTTTTAAGATCAAATGCCGTTTTTTCATCCGAGTAAAAATAATCCCAAGTACACAAACAAAAAATGCAACGCGAGCTCAAAACATCAAAGCGAACAAAAAAACTGGGCTCCTTGATACTCTTCCTTTTACCTATCAAAGATCTGTGCGCTAGTTACTTTTGTGCTGATTTGGAAAAAAACAAAAGCTTGGGTATGCTGAAAACGTAAAGCGTATTGCCGCACAATTAAGTGATCCAAGATCTCTCTCAAAACAGGATTTTTTCTTAGCATCCGCGACCCCCCACAGTCTCCAACTCGCATTCTTTAAATACTCTGGACTCTTTGGTACCTTGAAAAATTATCTTGGTTCATGTAATATAGCTTTTTCACAGTCACCTTACTATGCTGCAACCCGTCTATTGTTCCAGCATCACTCAACCCATTCGCACGCGATAAGTCACTGGAACAATTTTTTTTAAGCTACCGCGAACCCGCCGATTTGCCATCGAAACCCTCACGGTTTTGAGGCCATCTGGAACTAAGCTTCGGGTGTGAAGCACTCTTCCCCACGAAAATAGTAACATGATGCTAAAATCTCGCCTTTGGATTTTTTTTTTGTTGTCGAAGATTCTCAATTTTGAGTTAGTCTCCAAAAATTGTCAAAACCGATTTATCGATGACAGACGTTCAATAAAGCACCAGGGAAAGTTCCAGAACTATTTCTAGAGGGGGAATTACAAATCTCACGCGGAATTCCTTCTCAGACAGTAAATGCAAACGAGATTTACTGGGTAGATGCTCCTCTGGTCCCTCCAGGAAAAAAAAGAAAAGAAAAAGGAATCAAAAATCGTGATTGAATTCAGGGTCTCCAGAGAGTTTCCAGAGTTAAATTCTCTCTTCGCCGTGTTTCTCAGGACATTCACACAATATGGACGTAGTTGCCGGGAAACGTGCCAAACAATCCAGTTCTCAACGAGGTGCCAACGTACCATCCGTCGTCGCACTTCTCAAAAACTTCCACCAGGTCGCCTTCACGCAGTTCCAATTCATCATCATTCACCGGATGGTACGGGTATAATGCCTGGTACCTGCAAAACACGAAAAAAGAGACGACATTCAGGAAATTAGCAGAATGAAAACTGGTTCTGAAATTGAGCACATCCGCTGGTCTGGAATCTACTAAGCGAGAGGTACATTTGAAAATGCCCGTTTCGAAAAATGCATTCGTTAAACTTCGGATTCAATCAGCAGTGCTACTAATCTCGTATCATCAGTGGCGCTCTGTCCAAGAGAAGTGAAATTACAATTTTTCCCATTGTAGAGCAATTCAGACAAAACGTGATTGATTACACCATTCAAAAGCATAAAATACTTGAAATGTTGGAGACTATGTTCGACTACCCAGAAGTTGATATTTTCTACGGTATTCAAGTTTTTTTTAGAAATTGATCCACAATTTCGCCCATTTTTCCAGATACTGTATTTTATTTTCATGACTATAGAATTCATGGTAGGACAAGTACAAATTCCATCCAACTCATGGAATATCGCTCTATTTTAGCCAAAGTTAAGATATTTGCCATTCACAGTGTTTAAAATACACTGTGGTCTTCGCATACAAACTGAATGTTTTTTTTTTTCTGAGAATCGTTTGTTAGCTGAATCCCGTTTTCCTTCACGAAAGCATAAAAATTTGATTGGTTCTTGAAATTCCGCATGAAAATGGAAAAAATTGAACTAGTAATAGCTTAACATTGCAGAACAGCTCTTGAGAAAATGCAAGAACAATTCTATTTCAATGCCATACACTTCTATACGGAGTCTATGCCTTAGAAGAAAAGAACAAAAACAATTGTACAAACTCTATTGGATTGAGGTGTTAAATGGCTATAAAACATCCAAAATGACGGATACTGTAATGCAACAAAATAAAATTGAGGGAACTTTCAAGACACGTACGTTGAAAAATAAAATGCAATTCATAAAATTAAAGGCGAGATTATGCATACATTTTTTCATAAAAGGCAAAACTATACCATTCTCTCTGGGAATATATGAGTTATGGCTTGGAAATCGATCCCAAAATTGTTGGGCCACCTTATTGTCGGTGATGACAGCCTAAATTTGAGTGAGTGAAAAATAAACCCACGAGGGTTTGAATCAAGCACAGGAAACTCACTGGACGGGCTCGGCTTGGGCGATAGGCACACCGATTTTGGAACGGACGAGGCTGGCTCGGGCGTCGGGAGCAGACGCTGAGAC